TCAGTTGGTAAAACTTTTCATTTTGCTTCTTCTCTGAATCTTCCTTCTGAAACCCTCTCGCATGTGCTACACATATAGCCTTGTTCACTCGTCCTCTTTCAGCCCTTCTCGCCCAGTAAACAATTCCATTAGAAATCCAACTACCTCATTCCGATTTGAATTTCCTTCTCCTAATCACCATCTTTTTTCTACTTAAATATCTTCAAGCACATCCCAGGATTTCTTTCGTTCTCAGATCTTCAACAACGAACATAAAACAGATGCATGAAACAGATACAGTAGAGAAGGCGAGAAGAATTTGCAGAGAATGTGAAAGAATGAGCAGAACTGTGAATACTGATGAGTTTCAGGAAGAAAAACTGATTGGTGTCTATTAGTCACCTTAAGATGGTTGTTGCTGAATGGTTTTACCTTTGGCCGTTCGTATGATAGAACACCTTCTGTTGCTCATGAATAAATGACACCCACACCACCATAACTAAAGCATGAAAACAATAAAAATAGAACTAAAGCATAAAAATGCACGTTAAAAAGATATTGAGATAGACAGATAGATAGATATTCATTGCTGATCGTAATGACACACTTTGATGATATAATTTTATTATTTTGATTATTACGAATGTGATTATTCAGCAGTAAAGGATTGAAAAGCAATCATACGTGCATGATTGTATGCGATGAATAATGTCTATTAGCAGCAGCTAGCTAGCTTCGCTCGTCTATCATAATCGTTGATGTCTGTTTATTTCATTATTATCGGTTCTTTCATTTCTTAGCCTCTCTTCCTTGATGTATTTATTCACAAACGACGAGTCATCATGCATTATTATGATCATGCATGTGTCTCATATGTCGTTTCGATTCTTTTCTCGCAATCGCTCTTATTTTGTGTGCTCTATTCGAATAGAATAGAACATGCGACGTGATATGCAATCAAATGAGAAACATACGTTCAGCGAATGAATATGTCAAAGTAGTAAAGGTTGCTGGACGGAGAGAAGAAGGATGGATGCTTCCACAGATACCGACCGACCGACCGACCGGATCAATGAGGAAGGACGAGTGCTGATGCTGCTGCTGCTGCATGTTTGTATTCGGTGTTGATAATGCATTCTCATCTCTATCCCCTTCCCCCATCATAACCGCAAGCAGCAAACTACTCATCGAAGCAGCGACGAACGACCCCTTACGAGCAAGCAACCAACCAACTGCACCAAAAGCACTAAACAACGGCAATAGCACGAGCAGCCAGCTGAACCCTACACACATATATACACATTGAGTGAATGAATAGAAAGATAGACAACACTGACACAAAGCAAATGTAACCCTAACATAACCCTTTGTCCGTCTAACATTATCTCACATCACCCTTCAACCTCTGAGCTCGGCAAAGCATCACTCAAACGCAAATGTCATGCTATATTATCCCGACCTCTTGTTCACTTCACTCGTTCCTCACCCTTCCGTTTACTAGAAGTCTTTCATAGCTGCTCTGATGTGAAGTGTCACGTCCTGTTCTAATGCCCTTAGAATAACCATTGATCACCACCAGTATCATCATTACTACCATTAAGGCGGTCTGCTGTAGTCGTCGTATCGCCTCATTATCTCATCGCGCTTTCACCTTCACATCTGCGAATGTTCCGTTCCGTCTTTGCATTAACATTCAATCATTCTTTCATGTTCATTCCTATCTTCGCACATATTTTAAAAACTGATAATTGACCTTTTATCGTTTTCCTTTTCCATTTCCCTGTGTGTTTCCGTTATTTGCAATTCTCACTGAACCACTTTCTATGCACCTAAATTACCCAGTTTCACCTTCGCCGCCACCAATTATAACGAAAGTACTTTTTATCAGTGTGCTTTAGCTCGTTCATAGAGAATAATCGTGCAAGATATGAAATTATTCATTGAGAGAGACGATCAGTTATATTACTGGAGCTGTACTGAATCAGTCACTGTTAAGTTACATTACTGAATCAGTTATATTACTGAAGCGATTTGCTCATGTTGCGGATGGGATTGTTTCCAAGCGACGAATGATTCCATTTTTGAGCACCATAAAGTTCGTTTCAAAATTTTCTTCGTGATTTTCCAACGTTGTGCAAACAACATTCGCTGTTCAAAATTTTTGATGCCAATCAAATTGACACTCTCATTGAAAGATGTAATTTTTTCATCAATTACCACATCGCATCGCAATCAATCTCTCATTTGTTTAAAAGAGTCGATTAAAACTCACTTTCAATCCAAAAAAACCTCATTTTGTAGTCACAANCCAGTTCAACATCTCTTACAGTTTCGCAGATAACTTTTTCAGTGACTGCTTTCGAGTTGCTCTCAAAAGTTTTGGTTTTGCGTTTGGTGCTGAATATCTTACTCACAGTCAACTACTAATAAGAACGTTATGTGTATCTGTAGCTGATGGTGTAAGAATGACCCCATCAACCGTAAGGCTCAACGTGTCATATCGGTGATTAAATGATTATACATATTGGATGATCATGAAGACAGATGAGGGACTGCCTTGACGGTAGATATGACAAAAAAATACTCCAATGAATTGTATAATTATGAATTAGAAATTATGACATTCAAAGAGTTCTATGATCAGCTACGAGTTCTATTTACGATCCGGCTTCATCTAAAGCTGAACTTCGAGGTGTAACCGAACAAAATCCGACACATGTATATTCGTTTGAATCCGTGTTGTGCTCTCATAAGAGATGATGTTTTCGAGAAAGTACATGGTTGGAATTGCAGTTAATGGCGGCAACGGCTGCAGCACAACCGAGCAGCAGTTCGGGTTCGCAGATGCTCTCGATGGCTGGTGCATCTCGATCGAACGCTAGTGACGCATCACCGCAAAGCTCGTCGTCAGCATCCACCAAAGATATATGCATGGAATTGTGTGTGGTTTGTGGAGATAAGGCTTCCGGACGACATTATGGAGCTGTTAGTTGTGAGGGTTGTAAGGGGTTCTTCAAGAGGAGTATTAGGAAACAGGTTGGTTGGTTTGTGCCTTTTTGCCACTCGTTTCTCTTCAAGAAGCAAATTTTCATTCGGAGGATTGCTTCTTTTCACGTACCATTTTGCAGTTTAATCGAATTTCAGATTGGATACGTTTGTCGAGGTTCCAAAGACTGCCCGGTCACNAAGTTTCACCGTAATCGATGTCAATACTGTCGATTGAGAAAATGTCTCTCAATGGGAATGCGCAGTGAATGTTTGTTCATTTGTCATCCGAATATACGATCTCCCATCCAAACCGGACTTAACTATGGTTTACTATAGATCGTGAATGCATGATTGTTTTCATCAAGGCAGTTGACTTCGAATAGCAATCTGAAAAGCACTCCAGAAGGATATTTTTAAAGAGCTGAACTGTCATGATCTCACAGTTACGCTTTAAGATCTTTTCGAAACATCCGCCGTGATCATTTAAAGCAGTGAAAAATCTGTGTAAGGTGTTGACAGTGACTGTATCTCCCAGTTGAACGGTAACAGTGATCAAATGCTAGCGATTGTAGAAATCATCTGGTTCCTAAAAATATTCCAGCCCGTAAAAAATAGTTTGTGTTTAATCACAAAATTCCCATTCGCCGGTATTGTTGAAATTTGATTGGTGGTGAATTCATTTGTTTCAGCGGTACAAGCCGAGCGACGACCAGTTGGCTCGTTATCGAATATTGAATATGCCCCGACGATGGTGCCGACAACATCCGCATCACAACAGAGACCACTGAAGGACAACGAGGTGATCAAATTGCATCGTTTCACTGATATCTGATCGGAATTTTAAGACGATCACTTCATTCTTACGATATGGCGATGTTGTTTTGGAACTCATTAATAGTTGGCCAAGATTACATTCCAAACCAATCGAGCAGACTACCGCTAAAAAAGAGCGTATGAAGGCTTCGAATTGAATGTTGTGATATGTGTCCGTTGAAGTAGATAGCGTAAAGCCAAAAGATGCAAACTGAGTAAGAAATTGACCTGAATGCGCAATGAATCGTTCACAAAATAACACCTCATAGTGAAATGGTTCCCATCTGCAACCCTTTATTACGGTGTTCTCCTGTTGAATTTATTATCATAAAAACTGATACTTTCATTTGACTCCTCCAAATGACACTCTTTGTGTTTTTGTTCAATTCAAAAACCTTGACATAATTATTAGTTCTGAGTTCGATCGTAAATTCTTGCGCTCTTCTTATAGTCCGAATGAGACATGAATGTTTTTGATTATACTGTGTCTGCAGAATGTTTAATTGCAAAATCTATGTAAAACTCTGAGAACAGTTATGAGAATCTCAGATAGTAGCTCTGATGAATGGGGACTTTTCCTTTGAACAATTCAAAAAATAATTCGTTTATTAATCACTTGTGCTTGGATGAAACAATGGTTTCAAACAGTGTTCGAATTGTTTAAAGTGCTCGTTTCCTTGCAGATATCCTCTACGAAACGATCAGATGCCTTCATAAATGGTCTTCTTGCGATCGTTCAGAACGAAGTTGAAAATCTTCAGGTAGCAAACAACACATAAACTTACTAAAATTCACTACCATTTTGATCTATCCAATCGATAAGTCTTCCTTCTGATCCACTCTATGATAATCACACCAAATTTCATCACATCAAGTACCAGCATTCAGCTTGTATTGATTCATTTATTTGTCACAACGGATGTTTTTATTGTCCACTTTAACCTTATATTCAACGAGTCATTTTGCGTTGAATCAATCATAAATCGCTCGAAATTGAAACTTTTTGAGGAGGAGGATAAGAAGGATGTGTTAGCGTTAGGTGTGGGAAGCAGCAGCAGTCCAACATCTGCACAGAGGCAAGTATCAGCTAGTCCCGAACCACAACTGAATCTCGACAAGCGGGTGAATAATGCTTATATTACTTCATTTCTGATTCAAGTCCAAGAAAAGAATTAATTGCACCGTTTCCGCTTTAACTGAAACAATTGGAATCATTACCATAGTGAATTTGGAACGCTCTCGATTCTGTTGGTTTCCAGTGATTTCGAAATGATTGTTTTATTTTCAAGAAATCAATGATGGTTGATAATGCTCACATTCATTGAGAGCTGAATGTCGATGTATATCTGAAAGCCCACTTGTAAAGATATATTCCTCGGCAGAATAAGTGTAAACAAAATAAAATGAATCAGGAATCAATTGGTGATGACGAATACGGTATTGATGTGAACGCTGTGACTAGAATACCACAATCCTCATCACCGTCCTCAACCGGTGATCCTTCGTCGATATCCGATGATGGCGCTACTTTGCTCAATAATGAGGTGAGCTCATCTTTGCGCTCTTCAAGCTTTTCGTTAGGATAATGATCGATGTACCTACTGTACGTCTCTAAAAGATTTTATGACTTTTCGATGCGATAGAGAGCGTTAGCATCGTCGATTGAATGACATCGCTTCGAATTGAGTTGATGAGAATTGCGAAAATGATGTTTGACGTTTGCAGAAGGCTAAATTTGACCTGCCCGTGCCACATCCGATGCCGCGTGAACTGAATATACAATTCGTTTGTGAAACTGCGTCAAGATTGTTGTTTTTGTCGGCACATTGGATTAAGGACATGAAAGCAATTAGTTCCGAGTTAGTTCATCATACCATTGCTTCAGCTAATTGCTCTTTTGATGTATGTAATCATTTTGAACATCTCACTTATGTTAGCTGCTCTGAAAAGCTTATATTTCTATATGAGCTAGTTGGAAAGCTTTATAATATGCAGTTTTGAAGTCATTATTAACTATCACTTCGTGAATCGCTGAAGTTCAATAGCACTTCCAGTGCAAATCCTCATGGATAGGCTGACGATGAGGAAGGTAAATGTTAACTGAACGCAAATACGAGTCATATAAACTCGAAACGTCGATTCATTGCGATGATCTGCATGAAGATCGGTTCAGCTGAAAATATATGACTGAAATAATCTATTTTAGTGCATCCCTGCTTGAACAGACAATGAAATTGAAATGGTGTGATTTATTTATAATTGGATTAATGCAGTGCTCCGATCAGTTTTGCTTGAATAATATGCTCTCGGCAATGAGTAATCATTTGGATAATTGTTCGAAGCTTGGTTCGTTTTCCTCTGCATTCTCTTTTCTTCATTCAAACGTTGTTCTACTCCATTAAAATACCCATGAAAAGCTTCGGATCTCATCGTTCCTGTCAAAGCCACAAAATGTCATGTAATTGAACGGAACAGAAGTATGATCACCAATGAAATCAGTCATTGATCAACGAGGAACGATATGGGTTCTTGATTCTGTTGTATTATGAAAACATGGTCAAAAATTGTTTCTGATGAGCAGAAATGAAACATTACTCGAATATTTAAGTGCTCTTCCATTTATTCAAGTTTTCAGGAAGTTAGTGATAAAAATGTTGTGAATAGAGTGATCGGGAACGAGAGTGTATTTCAAAGTTCTATTTGTATGGACGTTTGTGCTTTGAACGTTGTGATTTTGCAGGGCAATTGAAAGCAGAGCGATTCGAAGAAGTTAACGAGCAAATAACCTTTTTACTGAAGTTGGCCGAGCGTTTCGATGAGCTGAAGTTATCGTCGATGGAGTTCGCCTATGTGAAATTGATTTCATTCACCGCTAACGGTGAATATTCTCACGTTTAATCCATTACTTCACTCTTCTCACTACCACATCTACTAGTTCTGCTGGCTTCTGTGATTGCCATCGGCACTCATCCAAAACAATATTTGTTACTTTACGATGATCTCATCAAAAGTTTTCTGTCAGTTATTCGAAGTGAACGTTTTCGAATAGATTATCTCAGGCTCAATTTTCTTAACGTCCATTGGAGTTGACATGTCGAATAGCCAACTAGACGATTGCAATTGTTGCAAGCTGATCGAGTGCCTTGATTCACTCGCTCATTATCGATTCATTTTCAGATTTACCTAGTACAAGCTTCAATTCGAAACTGCGCAGTGTGCACGCTCAGGCATTACAAGAGCTCTATGATCACATTCTTACAAATGGTGCTCAGAATTGTTCTGAAGATACAACCTCCGAAGTGGACAGTTCATCTGGCGGTGGCGCACCGAACAACTACGCCACAGTGGACCGTTACAGTCAGCTGCTGATGCTAATGCCTACACTGAGATGGTTCAAGCAATCGATCATCGTCGAATTATTCTTTTCTGGTTTAATCGGCAATTTATCAATAGGAACCGTTATGCCATTCATATTAGCTATGGACGTTATGAATGTGTTTGATGGCTCGTCATCGACTTCATCATCCACATCCGTGACCACAACAACTACAACAACAACAACAAATAGTGCTGATTTATTACCTGGTGCTAAATCACTTGCCGATATCCTTTATAAAACTGATTGATCTTTGGATTGCTTGATCAGTTGATTGTTTTTTAATCGTTGATTAGTTTATTGTCTAGAAATATGTTAACGCTACATGAATATTTTAGTTTTTCTATGCATTCGTTTACGTAGTTCACGTAGTAGGCTCAAATTCGAGCAAGCGATTGCTGCGAATAAGAAATATGTGGAAAAGAAGAGATGAACTGCTGAAGTGCTTGTAAGAGAACCTATGCTAGAATTCAAATTGTGGTGATTAGCATTTTGGCTTGTTCAGGTCACTGATAAATGCGAAAACCTGCACATTCATGAAACTTTCGTTGTTTTCAACGAATTCATTCGGTTTTTCGGAATCGTAACTTTGTGAATTTGTGACGATTTTAAATGGAGT